TCCGTGACTTCAGGCGAATTGCTCTATAAACTAGAAAACAGCACCGTTGTGTGACTGGTTCGGCTTCAAGGAACATGCAGAATACACGTTAATGAGGCAGTGAAACACAGAATATGTTCCAAACATGACATGTCATTTTGAAAACATGATGCCTTTCTTTTTTCAGAGTATATGAACGAATTATCAGTGTGGACATAATGAGAATTCAATATTAACGTGATGATACTTCCGCCTTTGTTAAACTCTCATCTCCTATTAGCTTTGACGTCTCGACACTGATACTTCATCAGCAAATATGAACAGATTTAATCGTGTACATTCGCAGGTGGTACTGTCATATCTGTCTAATTGTTCACCTACAGTCGCCATGGTTACAGCTAGATGACATTGATATGACGTGAATAATGAGAAAGAAGGTTGTCTTTGTCTACGGTGTTGGCAAGCGCAGACATGGGTTGAACAAGAGTGGTCGGAGGATGATGATAGGGGGTCTCTGGTGATGCAGAAGGTCGAGCGATACAGTACCGCCATGCCATGGACAATACGGTCATCTAGGTTCGGTACCGTCATGTCACGGAGAATACGGTCATCTAGATACAGTACCGTCATGCCATGGACAATACCGTCATCTAGGTACAATACCGTCATGTCACGGACAATACGCTCATCTAGGTACAGTACCGTCATGTCAATGACAATACGGTCAACTAGGTTCAGTACCGTCATGTCACGGACAATACGCTCATCTAGGTACAGTACCGTCATGTCACGGACAATACGCTCATCTAGGTACAGTACCGTCATGTCACGGACAATATGCTCATCTAGGTACAGTACCGTCATGTCACGGACAATACGCTCATTTAGGTACAGTACCGTCATGTCATGGACAATATGCTCATCTAGGTACAGTACCGTCATGTCACGGAGAATACGGTCATCTACGTACAATACCGTCATGTCACAGACAATACGGTCATCTAGGTACAGTACCGTCATGTCACGGACAATACGGTCATTTAGGTAGAGTACCGTCATGTCACGGACAATACGCTCATCAAGGTACAGTACCGTCATGTCACGGACAATACGCTCATCTTGGTACAGTACCGTCATGTCACGGACAATACGCTCATCTAGGTACAGTACCGTCATGTCACGGACAATATGCTCATCTAGGTACAGTACCGTCATGTCACGGATAATACGGTCATCTACGTACAATACCGTCATGTCACAGACAATACGGTCATCTAGGTACAGTACCGTCATGTCAATGACAATACGGTCATCTAAGTACAGTGGCGTCATGTCACGGACAATACGGTCATCTAGGTACAGTACCGTCATGTCACGGACAATATGCTCATCTAGGTACAATACCGCCATGTCACGGACAATACGGTCATCTAAGTACAGTACAGTCATGTCACGGACAATACGGCCATCTAAGTACAGTACCGTCATCACACGGACAATACGGTCATCAAGGTACAGTACCGTCATGTCACGGACAATACGCTCATCTAGGTACAGTACAGTCATGTCACAGACAATACGATCATCTAGGTACAGTACCGTCATGTCACAGACAATACGGTCATCTAGGTACAGTACAGTCATGTCACGGACAATACGGTCATCTAGGTACAGTACAGTCATGTCACGGACAATACGGTCATCTAAGTACAGTACCGTCAAGCCACGGACAATACGGTCATCTAAGGTACAGTACCGTCAAGTCACAGACAATACGGCCATCTTGCTATAGTACTGTGACGTAACGGATAATTCAGTTATCTAGGTACAGTACCGTCATGTAAGGACAACCAGGTACAATACAGACACCTGTTGGTGATACAGGCACCTAGTTACAGTAAGGACAACAGGTAAAATACAGACACATGTTGACGATACAGACACCTAGTTACAGTAAGGACAACCAGGTACAATACAGACACCTGTTGGTGATACAGGCACCTAGTTACAGTAAGGACAACAGGTAAAATACAGACACATGTTGATGATGCAGACGCCTAGTTACAGTAAGGACAACAGGTATAAATACAGATACATGTTGACGATACAGGCACCTAGTTACAGTAAGGAAAACAGGTAAAATACAGACACCTATTAATGATGCAGACACCTAGTTACAGTAAGGACAACAGGTAAAATACAGACACCTGTTGATGATACAGGCACCTAGTTACAGTAAGGACAACCAGGTAAAATACAGACACCTATTGATGACACTGGCACCTAGTTACAGTAAGGACAACAGGTAAAATACAGACACCTGTTGATGATGCAGACACCTAGTTACAGTAAGGACAACAGGTAAAATACAGACACCTGTTGATGATACAGACACCTAGTTACAGTAAGGACAACCAGGTAAAATACAGACACCTGTTGATGATGCAGACACCTAGTTACAGTAAGGACAACCAGGTACAATACAGACACCTGTTGATGATACAGGCACCTAGTTACAGTAAGGACAACCAGGTAAAATACAGACACATGTTGATGATGCAGACACCTAGTTACAGTAAGGACAACCAGGTAAAATACAGACACCTGTTGATGATACAGACACCTAGTTACAGTAAGGACAACCAGGTAAAATACAGACACCTGTTGATGATACAGACACCTAGTTACAGTAAGGACAACCAGGTAAAATACAGACACATGTTGATGATGCAGACACCTAGTTACAGTAAGGACAACCAGGTAAAATACAGACACACCTAGTTGATGACAACCATACAATACACCTATTATGTTACAGACACCTAGTTACAAGGACAATACAGGTAAAATACAGACACCTAGTTTGTAAGGACAACCAGGTAAAATGACACCTATGATGATGCAGACACCTAGTTACAGTAAGGACAACAGGTAAAATACAGACACCTAGACACCTAGTTACAGTGATACAGACACCTAGTTGATACAGTAAGTTACAACAACAGGTAAAATACAGAAACCTATAGATAATGCAGACACCTAGTTACAGTAAGGACAACCAGGTACAATACAAACACCTGTTGATGACGCAGACACCTAGTTACAGTAAGGACAACAGGTAAAATACAGACACCTATTGTTGATGACGCACACACCTAGTTACAGTAAGGACAACCAGGTACAATACAGACACCTATTGTTGATGATGCAGACACCTAGTTACAGTAAGGACAACCAGGTAAAATACAGACACCTATTGTTGATGACGCAGACACCTAGTTACAGTAAGGACAACCAGGTAAAATACAGACACCTATTGTTGATGATGCAGACACCTAGTTACAGTAAGGACAACCAGGTACAATACAGACACCTGTTGATGATACAGACACCTAGTTACAGTAAGGACAACAGGTAAGATACAGACACCTATTGTTGATGATGCAGACACCTAGTTACAGTAAGGACAACCAGGTAAAATACAGACACCTATTGTTGATGATGCAGACACCTAGTTACAGTAAGGACAACCAGGTAGAATATAGACACCTAACATAAAGGGCCAACACGGACACCAAGATGTAAAATTGTTACGGACACCTAGGACACAATAGTATAATGTTCACCCAGCTGGTTCCACTACGCTAGCCATTACGTTCGGCTCAGGGATGTATGAGAGAAACTACGGGTGGACCTGTCGTTTGAGGTGCAGCCACTGTGTGAAGTGGGCACGCCAGAAAGATCGTGGGTTCGAACCCTGGTCTGTATCGATCATGTTTCAAGGTTTGTCATCACCAAAGTGTCAATACAGACACCTATTGATGATACAGACACCTAGTTACAGTAAGGACAGCTAGGTACAATACAGATACATGTTGACGATACAGACACCTAGTTACAGTAAGGACAACCAGGTAAAATACAGACACCTATTGTTGATACAGACACCTAGTTACAGTTAGGACAACAGGTAAAATACAGACACCTATTGTTGATGATGCAGACACCTAGTTACAGTAAGGACAACAGGTAAAATACAGACACCTATTGTTGATGATGCAGACACCTAGTTACAGTAAGGACAACCAGGTAAAATACAGACACCTATTGTTGATACAGACACCTAGTTACAGTGAGGACAACCAGGTAAAATACAGACACCTATTGTTGATACAGACACCTAGTTACAGTGAGGACAACCAGGTAAAATACAGACACCTATTGTTGATGCAGACACCTAGTTACAGTAAGGACAACCAGGTACAATACAGACACCTGTTGATGACGCAGACACCTAGTTACAGTAAGGACAACAGGTAAAATACAGACACGTATTGTTGATGACGCAGACACCTAGTTACAGTAAGGACAACAGGTAAAATACAGACACCTATTGTTGATGATGCAGACACCTAGTTACAGTAAGGACAACCAGGTAGAATATAGACACCTAACATAAAGGGCCAACACGGACACCAAGATGTAAAATTGTTACGGACACCTAGGACACAATAGTATAATGTTCACCCAGCTGGTTCCACTACGCTAGCCATTACGTTCGGCTCAGGGATGTATGAGAGAAACTACGGGTGGACCTGTCGTTTGAGGTGCAGCCACTGTGTGAAGTGGGCACGCCAGAAAGATCGTGGGTTCGAACCCTGGTCTGTATCGATCATGTTTCAAGGTTTGTCATCACCAAAGTGTCAAGACCTGCACCACTTGCGGCTGTACTCATATAATCTGAACACTGTTCAAAACGTCCAAACTCACTTGCTCCTGTCTTTACAAACTCACTCGCTCCGGTCCTTACAAATTCGACCAACCATTCCGATTAGGTCGGCTGATGACGTCATCGTCAATTATTCTTGTTATATGATGTGACGTTGTAATGGTCACTTTTCGCAGGCAATTGTTCATCATCAACTGGAAGAGCTGACCAGTGAGGAGTAGTCAACATTATAAGTGTAAAATAATGACATTCACTGCACCGAGAGGAACGCTCCTAAATATAACAGGCTAAGTAAGAATTTGAACATTTTATTTCATCTTTTATTCATATACATAATGAATACGGAATGTATGACATCGCAGCGTCAGAAACTCCTACATATGTAGGCGCACTGGCTTGTGTGGGACTGGGGATCTGAGGGGTGATTTGATGGTACTGGTAGTTGTACTGGTGACACGTCATCAGGTGCCCTGCAGCTGTGTGTAGTCTGGTTATTAAGGCACCCGGAAGTATGGTCGTGTTATTCGGGTTATTTGAAGTCATGTTAAATTTGAAGTCAGATACTCGAACGTTGTGTTGGTCGTGTCGTACTCAGGGTACCCGAATGTGTGTTTATCCGGGTATCCTGGTGTGATGTGTAGTAGGGTTCTCCATTCTCCCTCCTTTGTCCCCAGCAGTTAACAACAACAGACAATCAGCGAGTATCAGCCACGGGTGACTGCAAGGATCTGTCAGGAAGAACGTTATGTACGGGATATGATTAGCATTTGAAGCGAAGTCGATTATCTGTGCGCAAGCAGGTCATGTATGTACAGGAAGTTGCCATTCCATTGTCACTGGAAACTATTATATGTACACATCTGCGCTGTGGTACAATAAGCTATGTAACTACAAGGCCCGAAAACATGGTCAGTCCGAGGTATTGTCCCTGTAGTCTGAGCGAGTGCCAACAGTTTCAGGCACCGACGATGACCGGAGATACCTCAATGTGTATGAATTTACGAACTTGGTATATCAAATTGGACACGATGAACTGAGACGATGAACAACTGAGACAAGAGTTCGTAAAACAAAAAAGAAAGTTTTGAGCCTTTCCCTCCAACAGGATATTTGAACACTTTATGGGTATTTGAGAATTACGACGAGGAAGTCCATCGTGGAAGTAAATACGTTAACGTAGGTGTAAGGGCAATGCTGAACACTAATTGATGATGTCAGAGCAGTTACGAGTGCGTGACAATTGTTCAAATCAGTAGCTTTGACAAAACATTTGGGCAATAACTAAATGACAGTGGTGGTGCACAACACACCCTGAAATGTTTGCAAGAATGTACAAATGAAGACGAGTGTTTCTGATATTTCTACGGTTCTGACAAGTTAAAATACGTCATATAAGACGCGTCGTCACTCCCATCGCTAGATATTTGGGAACAGAGGGCCCCAAAGGAGCTCAAGGAGAGACAACTCGGATTGTCATGTATCAGCGACACATGAGTTCCGGTGAGGCCCCAAACATCACTCTGCTGGAACACATCTTCATCCTCGGAACATTCCGACAGTCCACTTTGATCGTTCGTTAAAATAGTGTCAGTGTCACTTTCCATCCCGAAAACATCAGCTTCTGACGAAACGCTCGAAACAGAAACTGTCTGTCTGCGCATGTCTGATCCACAGTCGAAAAAGAGACTTTCGTCCTTTGTGGAATGTTCGAGACAAAAGTCGACAACGGCTTGAGGTAGGGAATCTGTGACTTCACTAACTATCTGGTCTGGTTGTACGAACAGTGGAGCGTCATACGGTTGTGAGGGTGTGGCTACGCTGCTCCCCCTCGAGGGGCCGTCGCCAGTGACATCAGCGCTACCCGCGACTACAGAGGACATGATGTCAACTGCCTCCTGTTTCACGGAACCGCAAACACCATGTGAGTCCAAAAACGTTTTGATGGCATCTTTTTGAGACTTCAGCAGATTTATTTCGGCCTCAAGAGATTGGTTTTCCTCGATCACTTTGGCCAAACCCTAAAATATATAAAAAAATGAATGATAAAAAACTTTTCATATTCATATAACCAGCCATAAACATCTTTTATAATTCAATTTTATTGTTCCCATTGTTCAGTTGGTAGTTGCGTTTAACACAAGAGTCGAACCTTGAAATTGTCGTCACGGACTTACAATTTTACTGTTACCTAGCTATTAGAAGTATGAGTCACGTGGACTGCAGGCAAACAAACACTGTGTTCAGCGTAGCTGTTCAATCCTAACTCACCTCAAACGTCCCTTCCTGGTTTCGTTTCTTTTTCTCCCGACACCGTCGAGCTGCGCGCCTATTCTGCTCGCGTCTTCTTACTTTCTTTTCGATCTCCGTAGGTGTCAGCTGAAAGTAGCATTACTTTTAGTCAAACCGCGGTCACAGTGTTACATCAGCCGCCAACATTCACAAAACCAACATCTGTGGACGTGTATCCGGAGTATCCGAGAAGTAGAACAATATTCTGTAGGTCATACTGATAAGTCACCTGACCACGCCCACGTCACGGATCCATCTGTCACGTACTTGTATATCAACGAAACTCAGGGGATTTATCACACCATACAGGTTACATGAACAAACACATAAACATTTGGCATCAGCCTTATCAGTTAGATACCGATAAGATATGTAGATGCATAACACAGCTGTGGAAACCGTATACAGTGAAACCCTGTGAATCCGGACTGTTACCAGTGAGTCGACCAGATCAGCTCACTGCGGACACTTTTAGGCCACATAAAAATAGTCTTGTTTCTCATCACTTTTTCAAAACAAATGGGGCGGGCGGGCGGATTTTATTTTTACATTCTATTTTATTTTATGTCCAAAAGTCCTTGATTTCTGTGGGAATTTACACCTTTTCTCCAACAGAAAATCAAAACTTTGAAGTGTGAAAAATTCATGCACATTTTGAGTCAAGGTTGCATTTTCTCTTGCTTAAAATATTAAAAAATCTTGGTCGGGTCGAATTTTTGGGTCGAGAGAGCAACAAAACTATTTTTAAATATGGCCTTAACACTTTTCATCAACATCGTGAATGTGGAACACTGAACAGATACAGAAATAGATGTTTAGTAAGTCCTTACTTCATGTTTTTCTGGCTCCTTGAACTCGACAGCGAGTTGCTCCTGGCCGTTGGCGTGACGTCTGTTTAAGATAGACAGCCTCAGTTCTTCTCTCAGGACAGGAGAAATCGATTTAGTTTTCAAGCTTGTCTCGGCTGCCCGAGCAAGCCGTTCTTCGATTTCGCACGAGTTGTCTCCCTTGTGCCTCATTCTGTCGCTGTAAACAAACACACATATGGGTCACGTCCCATGAAAACAGTCGGGGAAAAGTAGGTCACTCGAATCAGTTTCACAGCTGAAGTTATGCTGCATGAAATATCACTTTATCGCCGTTTTGACCCCAATTTTCTCTTTAGTAACAAAACCTGCTGCTTTTGAGCTAGTGAAAATATATAATCATATTACTAGTAAGCACACTATAAATATATATATATATATTTGACACAAAATGAGAAGCTGAAGTCCAACCACAATACGTCGTAACACTTGCGTTGATGCCATTTGATGTCTACAGTTGTACAGGTTCCACTGACCAGTAGGAGGTGCGCACAGCTAGGTCTGTTTCTTATAGAGCGGCTTACAGGCTAAATTGTTTCGAATGATTTGGCGAATTGCCTGCACTAGAAGGCGGATATAGTTTTTTCCGGTATCGTTAAATATAGACAAATCTGCGACTGACTATAAGTCTATAAGCTGCAACGTGACTGGGATACAACACAGTTGACACTTGTACTTATATCACCACTTCAAAACTATTTAGATATATGTACAAAATCAGAAACCTTGTGCTAATAATACATTAAAAAAACATTCAAATGCATGCAATAACGTATTCGGTTACACAATTATTAATCTCACGTTATACCGACGAAGTATCATTAGTTGGAGATAAAAAAGCCCAATGTGACAAGCGAATTCTAAGACCACGTGCACTAATGTAAGGCCAGATTCCACTGGGTTTCAGAAGTAAACGACCTCCGATAGTGTATCCACCGCGTGTCTCACCACGTAACCCCCATACACACTCAACTAACCTTCCAGGCTCGTAACAGATTTATCCACAGCAACTCAACGCAAACCAACAGTCTAATGATCCCGGGTGAACGGTGGTGCGTGCACTCTCTGTTGCTCTCGTTGATCTTATGAGTGATCGAGCGTACGGCGATGCTATAAACAAAACAAAGCACGAGCCAATCACGAGCTTCGGCCAATCAGAATCAAGGGCGTTCCCAACTGGCTTGTCTGCCTTGCAGAGAGCAGACGACAAGTCTGGGTGATATTGCTGTATCTGAGACAGAGCCTCGTCTGTTGATTTGCGGAAATCCTTGCGCTGTTTATGTACAAGTAAATCGGGGGAGATGGATTTGTGTGCGAAAAGGAACTTGTAACGGATAAAACATACAAAAACACATATAAGTGTAACGTCATCTCTGTTTACTTGTGATTGCAGTTAATGTGAGGGGATGGTAGTGTGGAATAATTATGTACATCACGGGACAATTTGAAGAATTATGGGGGGATAACTTCCGATACATGAAAATTGGGTTTGATACATAATTCCAGAACAGACTGAGTTCGTCATTCATATTTACTTGTAATGTATGATTTCGATTGAAATAATAAAATAACAACCTAACACTTACCCCATATTAAATCTTATCTCAGTCTTCATCATTGTAAGTGAAGTGTTTGCCGAAAATGATGGCGCAAGGAATATTGAACGGCCAGTCTGACATTCGACTGTAAGGTCTGTGGTAGACGTGAGTTGCCCATAGGTTGTCACAGTTAACGACCCGAAGTGATGGGTGCAGCTTTACGGAGTTTATCGAAACAGTTGTGTAACATCGTCATGTGAACATGCATTGTGTAGGCGGCGATAACTGGTTTTTCCTTGATGTCATCTCAATTAGATCACGGTCATATTTGAAAACTAGAAATGTAGACGGAAAAGAAGTTCTATTGCGAGAAAAAGGAATCAATAAACATATTATTTGAAACGTAATTCGGTGTTGAAATTAGTCAACATGATATTCAAATTAGCAACGAGGCACCCATGCTCCCACTACTGAATGTTTCCGACTTGGGGCGATCCAAGTTCGATTCTCATATTGGTTCAACACGATATAGCTGCTGCTTCAGCTTACTCTCTGTCCGACCTGCACTGAGTGTTAGTTGGGGATGGATATCCATAGGGTTTATTTCAGGAGAATATTTTATCGCAAATCTTTTCATCGGTAATATATATTTTTCACAAAAGTTACAAAGCACGAAATATCTTACTAAGCTTGTCTAACTATTACTAAAGGGTAATCCTAAAATTATCAATAAATATACATCGCAGCTATTTACTGGTGAATCTTCAGCATGAAGCCTTTCCTAGGTTGGTCCAGTATGTGTGTTTGCTTTGTATTCTATCTTGTTTTAGGTCATATTCCAGAATCAAGGTCGAATTCAGTTTCTCCTCATGGCGTTACCAACAGAATGATGTTGATATATTCATGACCAACCTGTACGTAATGGCAAGCTCCCTCAGTCTATAGTAAAACAAACTTTGGTCATACGCAGGGACTGATCAAGAACATTTTAATATTTTTCTGACCTCACAAGGCTTTTCGAAAGTAAGAACAAATATTTGGAAATGTAAATTAAACAGATAATTTACTTGTGCTTTTTCAAACATTTTTAAACAAGAGACGACAAAAATGCATGTCTGAATGTACATAGCTATTTAATCATATATCCTTCAGGAGGTACACGGATTTTTCCTGAAGGGTGGAGGGATGGCACAGTTGAGGGTGACCATGCACTTATCATCCTCAAGACGCAAGTCTCCCAAAGAGAGCACTGACTGCTCCGATTGCCTGTAGGACAAGTGTACGGTATTCTTTACCTTGGGTACTGATCTTCCCGAGATGATAGAACACCGTATCTCACTTCCGATAAACAGCACCAGTTACCCGTGGAGGCGGGGGGGACAGAACATTCCTGGCGAGGTCTGTTTACCTCCAAAGTTGATTAGGCGATCTGACGCTGTTTTAATCATTCCCCGTGAATTGATCTTCAGCAACACCTGCATCTTGTGACAGGTAACTAACGGGATCGGGTGGCCGGGTGGCCGGGTGGTCAGGTGGTAGGGCAGGCTGACATGGTTGATGCATGTTTCCCAGTTTCCTAGATCGATGGTCAGTTTGTCAATCTCTGGATTGTCTGGTTCAGAACCGATGATTTACAGACTGCCTGTATATAGCTGGGATGTTTGCGGCAGGCGCGTAGCAAGCCATTTTTTTCGTGTGAGCCCGACAGATTGCAAAACTTTATATTCAGATAATATTGAGGGCTTGCCCAACCGTTTTACCGACAATCATGTGTTAGCCCGGGCTTGTTTCATAACGGTAGCTACGCCCCTGTTGAACAACAACATAATGACGCGATTCCCGACAGGTATGATACACCCCAGCAGTGCTGTGATATCCAGAAACTCCATACAGGAGTGCACGGACGTAGAATATTTTGTGAAACGTATTGATGACTTAAAGCAAATCTCTAACCATTCCTAGGCGAATTTCACATAAACCTGGAAAACGGTCTTTGTTTTTCAATGAATTGCGTGAAGGAACCAAAATACAACAGACAGGTCCCGGATTTGTGTATGATTACGACAAACCTGAGGTTATAATCTGGGGGAATCTAGGATTCGAACCCAGAACTAGCGGATCCTGGTAATGTGTCCCAAGTTAAGACAATGACGGTGACCGAAACACTATAAAACATTACTTTTTACGGCATATTGACCACGTTATAATTCAATATTTAATCGTTGAAATACTGCGCCAACTTGTTCAGAACAGCAGTATTACATTTCAACATATTTTCGATATAATTGATTTTCTATTATACGATTAACATAACACACGACAAAGTTCAAATCAGCACTGTAACGGTGACGGTTTTCACGCTTCACAAGAACAAACATCGATATGCTTACACCATCCCCACGGATTAACCTCGTCAAGCGGGAGGTGTTTTGTCCTTGGAAGTATGTGTTTACACTCTTGTCGTCACATTGCAACAAAAACTGGGCACGTCAAAATGCATAATCCATACTTAAGCACACTGAGCTGGTTTATGTTTTTATTGTTTTGAGAAACACGTATCTAACGAATGTATCCTGTGTAGTTGATATACCTGGTGCACACATCATCGTCGTTAGTCTATTGTAGTTGGGCAAAAATATGTCTTCCAACAATAACGACTCTCATAGAAATTGCGCAATAAAACTCTGAATAGAAACCAATTAAAACATTACACTTTACAATCTATTGTCAACTGTACCACGGCACGTGCCAGGTAAACGGAATCAATAACCCGATAGACGGTGAAACGTTAATTGATTGACATCAATATTGATGAGGTTGTCTGTTTCATAGACGTAGCTGTCTTATCCTCGTGGCTCTCATTTCACGTGGCTGGTCAGTGAGCCGTGCAGGCCTAGTAGACGTCGCTGGTCAGTGAGCCGTGCAGACGTCGCTGGTCAGTGAGCCGTGCAGGTCTAGTAGACGTCGCTGGTCAGTGAGCCGTGCAGGCCAAGTAGACGTCGCTGGTCAGTGAGCCGTGCAGGTCTAGTAGACGTCGCTGGTCAGTGAGCCGTGCAGGGCCAGTAGACGTCGCTGGTCAGTGAGCCGTGAAGGTCTAGTAGACGTCGCTGGTCAGTGAGCCGTGCAGGGCCAGTAGACGTCGCTGGTCAGTGAGCCGTGCAGGGCCAGTAGACGTCGCTGGTCAGTGAGCCGTGCAGGCCTAGTAGACGTCGCTGGTCAGTCAGCCGTGCAGGGCCAGTAGATGTCGCTGGTCAGTGAGCCGTGCAGGCCTAGTAGACGTCGCTGGTCAGTGGGAGCGGTGGGGTAGCCTAATGGTTAAATGGTTCGTTTGTCACGCCGAAGACGCGGGTTCTAATGGTTAAATGGTTCGTTTGTCACGCCGAAGACGCGGGTTCGAATCCCCACATGGGTATAATATGTGAAGCCCATTGCTGGTGTCCCCCGCCGTGATGTCGCTGGAATATTGCTAAAAGCGGCGTACAACCATACTCACTCACTCGATGGTCAGTGAGCCGTGCAGGCCTAGTAGACATCGATGGTCAATGAGCCGTGCAGGGCGCAGTAGACGCAGCTGGTCAGTGAGCCGTGCAAACTATACAGTAGACGGCACAAATCATCGAGCAGTGGGCAGTAGACGACGTTTTGTCCCAATCTACTGATGTTTCAGATAATAAACCAGAAAACATAAAACGATTAAGTTTGACACAGTGGTCGGAATAAATTGTATCTGAATCTAATTCAAGGCCAGGATGCTATATTACAAAATCGCTTTATTTTAGTTGGAGGAATGTCTATAGATATACAAACTAGCCTACCACTTTGGTAACTGATAACTTTTACCGGATGATAGTCTTCCGTATAGTCACCTCCGGGATTCCCCGCTGCCAAGATGTTTCTATCGGGGAGAACGCCATGTTGGAACATCAACCAACATCACTGTTAATGAGTGAAGGGAGGTGTTTATAATATATTTATCCATTATCAACTAACGTTGGCTTCTGGGCTTCAATAGAGGTAATATGCCAGTGGTTGTTGTAGGTACAGGTGATTCGGTCTAGCACTCAGGATTCACAGACATTCATGTAAACAACACTGAATGAATTATACCGACATAGATGTAACGATATTGAATGAATTATATGATGGACATTTTTATAACCTGTATGGCTATGGGTAGAATAGAATTCACTGCATCCGGTTGTTGTCCGACAAGTGGGGCACGATTGGTGACCAGAATTTGACTGTTCCGGAAGTCATATTTCTGGCTACATAAGCATCTTACGTTACATATTTCACGTAATATCGTCCGTTATTTGAAGGAGAATTCCGAAAATCTGGGAGCGGATAAACGGGCTCCAGTCGTATACGTAGACTTCATATACTGAAGGTACAGACTCCGTCTAAACAGTGACTTCTTGTTACCAGTTGTGTCCGTCTACCTGCACTGACTGTGACAACAGGGAGGGTGGTTGGTTGGTTGATTGTTTAATGCAGCACTCAGCAATATTCCAGCTATATGGCGACGGTCTGTACATAATCGAATCTGGACCAGACAATCCAGTGATCAACAGCATGAACATCTATCT